CAGGTCCTGCATCACGCAAAAGTCAGGGAAAAAAGCATCCATGCATTTATGTTCCTTAGTAAGTCTAGCTATGGAGATCAGATTAAATTTCAATTGAGGGGCATAGAGGATGTCCACTAATAGTGTTTCATATGATATTTTAGCCTTTCCTATATGTGTGATAGGAACACATTTTCCATCTGGTATCTTTATAGATTTAATAGGTCCATAATATATTTCATAGCTTTCTAAAAGGTTTAAGCTACCAACCATATGAGTTGTAGCTCCAGAATCCAAAATCCAATTAGTATAAGGCACATTATAGGTTGCAGGAATAGCCAAACCTATACCAATAAGGCATGGCCTACAAGTTCTGAATCTTTTTGCAATAGCTCAGGTATTTTCTGGTACTGTTTGTATATGAATGTGGGAGCCACCAAAGTTCCTTTATTGGTATGAGCCTCTAAATATTGTGTTAAATCAAGAGTGCTTTGGTTAGGTTGTTTGTTCTGTCTGCCTTTGTTGCCTTTAAAATTTGCTAGGTAACTGATAATTTGGAAACAGTTGTCTTTAGTGTGCCCTTCTTTTTGCAGTGAGAGCATTCTGGGACATTTTCTCTATGACCTCTTTCTCTCCCATGCCCATGACCTCTTACTGCCATGGCTATTCCTCCTATAGGAGAAGTCCTTTCACCATTAATAATGGCCTTTTGTGCTTCATCTTGAATAATCATGGAATACGCCTTATTGACTGTTGGGAGAGGATTCATCAAGAGTATCTGACTCTTAGCCTGAGTGTATGAATCATTGAGCCCTAGTAAGAACTGAAGCAATTTTTGTTCTTGCATGACCATGACATAAGTATGAGATGTTTCACAAGTACAGGATAGAAGAGTTACCAACACGAACTACTCCTCCCAGAGTTCTTTCAACTTGGAGTAGTACACCGATACAGATAATGACCCTTGTCTCAGAGAAGTAATCTACCCATGCAGAGCAAAAATATGAGCACCATTTTTCTTGTTGAATCTTTCCTTAAGATCGACCCACACGTGATGCGTGTTTTGGAAAAAAATCACCCCATTTGCAAGTTCCTTTAATATCAAGTTGAGTATCTGATTTGAACCTTTTTAGTCGCCTTGGGTTAAATCAAAAATAAAATCAAATTATGCAGTAAAGCACAACTCGAGTCGTGTCTCTTGAGGAGCCTTTTATTAATTCCTAAGTTAACTAAGTGACAAAGAATAAAAAAAGGGGGTTGAAAAAGGATTTTTCAATTAATAAAACTAATTATGAAAATAAGAAATAAATCTAAAATATTTTTTTTGGTATTTTTAATAAAGAAAGAATGAAAAATGCAAATTTGAATTTTAGAAAATCAGTAATGAGAATGCTTCTTGAAAACAGAATGTAGTCATCCTTGCTTAATAAAGATATGAGAGTAAAATAATGTACCAAGTTAAGAGAAACAACCCCAAACACGGTTTGGGTCAAGTAAACTTAACACTTGACTACCGTAAATGCTAGATAGTAATCAAATTATTAAGTCACCTTTAAAAATTACTTGATGTGCAATTTAAATTGAGCTAATAAAAACTTGTTTCCCTCTCAAAGAATGCTCACGGAGACACTCAATTGCAATACATCTCAATCATAAAATCTAATGACACGCCGGATAAAATAATTTTAATGAATGTACAAGAAAATATATATAAATTCAAATCCCAAGTAATACAACTCAAATTAAACATAAAAATCCAATTAACAGAAATTATAATGCATAATCTTAGTCTCCAAATCAAATGAAAATATTCCTAACATAGGAAAAATCTAATGAAGTTTAGAAGAAAATTAATTGGAAAACTAAATACTCCCCTAGTTGAATCTCCAAGCTCAAGCTACTCCTCCATCTTCAAGAAGCATAAGAAAATTAGCCTCTCATGACTCTAGTAGCATCTACACCATATTTGAAGGAGTGAGAATCCATGAGGCCGTGGAGGAAGGATGAATGTGAAAAATTGTTGTTCACCACTGGAGAGGTATGAAAATTGGATGAATAGTGACAGTGGGTGATTGAATGGAAATTGGAGTGTCGCGGTTTGGTGGTACGCGGGTGTATATGAGTGCGGCGTATGAGTGGGGTGTGAATATGGCCAAAAGGGAAAAGGGCAAAAACTAGTGGAGAAAGAAATTGAGTTGCGTGGCAGCGTGGGTGTATGCGTGTGGAGAGGATATGAGGTCTGTGAGTGTGTCATGGCTCGGTGGTATATATAGGAAAGGAATGGAGGGAGGCGGCCATGATACTGTGTGAAGGATTGGATATAATATATATCCAAATCAAATCTGAAGGATTGGCATGTGGATAATTTCCGTGTCCTCTTTTTGAATCCATAAAAATACAGATAATATCATAATTTGATGCCATCCAAGCTGTGTCTCTAATTTCCTTTTTTTTTTTTATTTCCTTCCTTTCAGCTTTCCCATTATCTTTATTTCCTTTTTTTTAAGACCTACAAAAGATATATTGAGATACTATCACCAAATCCAAAATCAATTATTTAAAAAGAGATAAAAATATGACAAGATCTCCTATTAAATTTCTAATTTCATGCAATCAGTGTTTGATTCAAAATACCTACAATCAATACAATTTATCCCACTTTAATTGATAAATATCTCCAAAAAGATATCAAATAATGTATTAAAATCAGGATTTATCAGTACCCATGAAAGAAAGATAGCATTACATCTTTCGCATTATTCACACAGTGCCTCTTCTTGCTCTTCTTTCTTCCAGGTTCCACGAATGAATCCTAATTTGTTCTTCCCAAGAAGAGCTATCCTCATAGCTTCACTCTATACAGTGTAATTTTCGGTGCTTGTGAGCGAATGATGAACAATGGAAACTCCTTGAGTATCCGATGGGTGCAGAAATAATAGGTGAGTAAACAGGAGTGCATCGGCAACTATCTTCTCCTTAGTCATTCTGATGCAGAGAACTAGGGCTTCGTGGAATGGTGAAGGCAATCCTTCAACTCTGGTACATGAAGACTTCTACCCTAGTCAAACACAGCATATTGGAAAATTGGGAATTCTCATTACGGAATGAACAATTACATTGCCATTGGGCTCACACACAAAATGCTCAAGTCCAGCACCTATTTATAGGCCCAGACTAAAACAACAAAATAAAGAAAGAAAACAAGAATAAAAAGAACTAACTAACAGAACCGGCCTAAATGTATCAAGCAATACAAGCCCAACTAACACTAAACACGTACAAAATTAACTCCCTATTTCTCACAGTTATGTTATATTTCCCCCATCCAACTAATTAAGATTCTTTAAATTCATAATCTTGAGGCCTTGAAATCGCGTCTTACCAAAAATTATTCTTGTATCATTTAATAATTTGTCTAGGTAATCCTCCCAGGAAAATAAATAATTCCACTGGAAATAAACAATTATCAATAATTCTCAGATAACTGAATGACAGCTAATTTGCTTTTTGAGTGGGATAAAAATCAATGATGTCATAAATTAAATTCTACTAGAGGCACTACACCAACTCTTCTTGGAAAATGTTTTTTAAGAATTTTTTTATATGACCATATTTTCATCTTAATTCACGCATCCAATTCCAAATTTTGAAGTCTACTGTATTCTCTACAATTTTAAATATAAAGCACGGCTATCTTTTTCATAAAAACCAATAAATTACCTAAAGTTTGTTGAGCCAATTAAATTTGTAGCGGAACATTTTCTTTTTCATATTTGACCTTTATTAATTAATAGTTGAGATTCCTCATTGAAAATCCCAATTTTTTTCTTTTATAGATTATGATTAATAGGGGGCATCAAAGAAAAAATGACATCTAATGACCCAAAAAATAATTCATATTTGGGATCGCTAAAACACCTCAACAAATGCCTTGAGATCTCAGAGAATATAATAAATCATTGCTTTTTATTTTTACTATGTCGTTTGAAATATTAATTCGTTTTTAATATAGAGTTTAAACATATGCTTGTGCGGTTAAAATAGTTAATTAATGTTGCCGCAAATATTTCATACCTGTATTGTAATCTCTACTGTTAGAATAGGAGTTGGCTGATTTTGTTATTTTATTCTCTGGATGTTTGTCATGTTTCCAGACATTGTTGGGATAGTTTTATTTTATGATGTGGTCAGTTAATCTCCACCTCGTACATATGGGCCACAAACGAGGAATACAAAAAAACGAATCATGTGTACATAGTAGCTCAGGTTTTTAATATAAAATCTACTTAATTAATTTAAATAGATTAAAAAAATTAGTTAAATTAGTTATTGTTAAAAATATGTATTGATTTCTCTAAAGTATCTTTTTTAAAATACTTGGATTGAAACTATTTTTTGATACAAACTCCCTTAATATATGCAATTAAGAGGGTTAGTTTAGAATAAATAAGATGAATAAAATAAATTAAAATTTTATATTTACGATCAAATTCAACTCCCAATAACAGGAGGTAATTTTTTACTTCCCACAATTTCTTTTAACCAGATTTTACTTCCTACACTCTAACGGAATTAAATTGAAAACGAAAAATACAAAATTGAATACTGTTTGCATATTGGACTTGACACGATCCACTCGAGTGGAAGAAAATATATAAAACAAACCTACGCTGCATTTCAAGCTTCGGTTTTCCTTTTCAGCTTTTGCAGAAAATTGGTCATAAAAGAAGCTAGAAAATGATTAATCCCAAAATGCGTTTTAATTGCCATAAAGAAGAAAAGCAGCAGTGAGGACTTTTTTTAAAAAAAAAAAAAAAAAACTTCCCACACTCTAACTGAATTGAATTGAAAACGAAAAATACAAAATTGAATACTGTTTGCATATTGTACATGACATGATCAACTCGAGTGGAAGAAAATATATAAAACAAACCTACGCAGCATTTCAAACTTCAGTTTTCCTTTTCAGCTTTTTGCATATCTTTTCAGAAAACTGATCATAAAAGAAGCAAGAAAATGACTAATCCCAAAAAGGCATTTTAATTGCCATAAGAAGAGAAGCAGCAGTGAGGACTGATTTTCTTTTTTTTGGCCTGAACTGAGAGGACTGATTTGTTTTTTGGCCTAAATTGAGAGGACTGAATTTATTCCAAAATAAATAACTGTTACAAACATAACGATAGAACACAGAAAATTAATCCCAGCGAACCTCAAAGGCTGTTAAAACTTTCAAAAGCTTTGTTCTTCAAGCACAAGTCATCAAATTTAGGAGCAGTATAGGATCCTTTTAATAAATATCTTGAGATCAATCTATACGCAGCTTCTGTCAAATGAACACCATCCCAGCTTATGTACTTCGAAGGATCATCACAAGCCTTCACTCCTTCACTTCCACATCTTTTTGAAGCACCGCAATTGTATGCCCCTCCAGCTCCGCAACAAGCTTTCAAACCCGTAAAACCTGTAATTTATTTCGTTAAATTGACACAAATTAATCAGAATATTATGATAGATAGCGTCCATATGGTAATGGAAATGTGGAATCAGCATATTACCAAATTTTGTGGGAGAATGATAGAGTGGTAATGCAGCGTTATAATAATCAGCATATATGATATTGGCATGAGGATGAAGCTGTTGAAGGCGATTTAGTTCAGCTTGAAGCCTGTGATTGTAGTATTCAGCAAACTTGTTCAGCCAATCCAAGCAACCAGCTTCGTCGTAGTCATTCTTATGGTTACTCTCATACATTGTTAAATAGAACGCATTGCATCCTATTGGGAAATTCCCAGGAACAATGAGCATTTGAGCTCCTAGATCTATCAAATCCTGCGACCAAAATTAAGCGCGCTCATCCACAAAAAGTATTAAGATACAATACACTACGTATTAAGTCCAGTTTTCCCGTCATACTTGTTATTTCACTATTATTAATTGTTAAAGTACATATCTGTATTTATATACTACTTCCGGTCCTAAATACTACCTCCAGACTTGGTTTATAATCTACAAATGAGATTTTATGAATAGAACCAGAACTAGCATAAGAAATAGTTTGAAGTGTAAATGGCGCTACAAACTAATTTTTATATTTAGAGCCAGAGATGTGTGTATGGTATGCTGTTTGACATGATTGCATAGCATTTAAAATTATTACTTCTATTGTTGAAGAGATTGCATTGATCACATGAGGCACGTAAGTTTTGATCTCCGCTAAAGTCCTTCGCAAGGCAAAAGGTCTATTAAAGTCATTGCCACCAATTTCTCCCACCAGAAAGAGTGACTTCTCAAACGCTTTCTTGCAGCCTGCAGGATAAAACATTAATATATTCCTTCCATCATATTGGTATCAAATGGGTCTTGAACTTCAATTACTAGATCGGTTCTAAATATAAGAGTTAGTTGACTCATTTAAGTAGATTAAGAAGATAAAGTAAGATAGTTATTTGTCATAAATAATTGGTGTATTGTCTAAAATATCCTTACCAATCAAGTATAGTAGTTAGAACTACCATTATTAGAAGGATTACCTTGAAAAAGTTGAATAAATATGAAAGACAAAGTGGATTAAGGTTTTAAGACCAAAATAAAAGTCAAATGAGGCTTTTTATTAAGAACCAGAGGTAGCATAGTATAATATGTTTAAGCGTTTTTGTTACTTGGTATGACAGTTAAAAATTTGACATATGTCTGGAAAAAAAGAGCAAGGAACTTACTTGAGGAAGAATTGCATATAGAAGGCAAAAACTCCTTGAACCATCCCAGTTGAACTCTAAGAGAATCATTAGTACTGACAGCATAAATACCTCTCTCTTCAAAGAAACTTACATTCAAAGCCGTTGCTCCCGCAACTGCAAAATTCACTCCCTCCTCTTTGTTCCAATTTCTTACTCGACCATTCTTAATTCCCTCATATGGTTTCACTGATGGTATGCTTAAAGACTCAGCTGTCCGGCCAGCAAGAACAATTTAACAGTGATATATTAAAGTCTTAAAGTGAATGGATAGTAAACAGATAGAACGATCAAGTCCAAGATCTGAGCCTTACCGATGAAATCAATGATAAGACGGCCATCGGAGCATCTTCCGGTGGGGTGACCGAAGTAGGTTTTGCCGTAGGGAGGGCGGGAGCAATGGTGGCGCCGCGGTGGTTGGAAGCTGAAAAACAAGTTTCCGGTATCAGCAAGTGAGTCGCCGAAGCTGAAAATGGAAGTGTAGGGGCATCCTGTGGAGCTGGGAATGAATGATAAAAAAGCGACTATATATAGTGTTAGGACAACTGTCTTCTCTTGTTGCAGAGTCCAAAGCGAGGAGGATGAAGGAGAAGAAGCCATTGTTGGAAATGTAAAGAGAATAATAACTTTCAAAAATAGCAGACCTTATGAGGGAAAAGGTTGCTATCAGCTGTTTCGATTTGACTTTTGTGTTCCTTCAACTACTAAGGCTTCTTAGACGTCATAACTTCTGCAAATATTTTTAATCTTTCAATCGCGTGTCAAGATAAGCTTTCGAACAAAAAATGTCCCACTATGATTAAATAATGCTCAAATAATTGTATGATTAAAGAAAGCTCAAATAATTGTATTCTGGCAAGTAATTGCTTTCCGATTTGCCATGTGATTTCAAAATATTAGTATACACTCAACATGCAATTGCTTTTTAATTCGCCATGTGATTTCAAAATATTACTCCCTCCAATCCTATTTATAAACTTTAAATTTGAGAAGTAGTGTGATCTATTTTATAAGTTTTAGTTTGAGTTCATCTTAATATTTAATGTATTTTTTTCCAATTGTCTTTAATTATTTCTCACTCGTTATATATATTTCTCCACACATTCTCTTTCATCATTTTTTTTATTTATTATAACGGCATATTTGGAAACAAAAGTGTATTTTTAACTAATTATTTGTTATTCGTGAAATAGTTATTTAAAGTTTACAACAAGGACTGGATGAAGTATTATGCCCTCACCTTCCATCCATGTGAGTTAGAATTTTTTGAGTAGACTTGGTTCATTTTGGAAGTTAACTATTGTAAAATCCGCATTTTATATATAATTTTTTAAAGGGTTAATATAAATTTTAGTCATTCAAGTTTACTGTCATTTTGATTTTGATCCTTTAAATTTTAAATAATAGGTTTTGATTCCTCAAGTTTATTTTCATTTAAAATATTGGTCTTTGTAATCCAAAAAAAAAAACTTGAACCCTTTTGCCTTTTGAAGGACCAAAACCCATGGTTTAAAACTTAAGGAACTAGAACCAAAATAAAGAAAAACTTGATGGACTAAAAATTATAGTAACCCCTTTTTAAATGGTACTCTTAAACAGCAGTAATAACATTGTTTTTCATTATGCGTATATTAAAAGAAAAATTAATTTAAAAGTCCTTATCATTTCCTTCGATTTTGAATGAAGTCCTTACGCTTTTCTATTTGAAATAAATGTGCAATGGTTTCTCTAAGATTTCTTTTTAATGATTTGTATTGGAAATTTTTATCATTTGGCGAGGCAACACAGGCTAAAGAAGACGACAAACATTCATTGGATAAAGTTGAAGTCAGTGGAGAAAAGGCCTTTGCCGGAAAGAACTTCGTCGTCGATGTCAGTAGTTGATTTTGAACAGATCCAGGGTGTTTTCCTGAGCCCGCAGAATTTCTCACAATTTACAAAGATTGTAAATGTTTTGAATCTCTCACTGATTACCAAGAAGCTATACTTCACTGAGCTTCGCTTCATCAGCAAAGTCTACTACTAAGACGAGAACGAAGGAACGAGCATCTGAACCTGATCTCACCAAATTGGACAATAAAAGAAAAGACACGTTGGAAAGAATTCGGAGTTCCATTTTAATCTGAGTTCATATTTGGATAGCTTTTTCCCTTCGTCTTTGACTTTTTTAGCTGGAATCGTAGTGTGAAATATCTTAAGAAATTCGAACCGCGGCAATAAATTTACGGCGATCTTAAAAGAATCATGTTCGTGCTCCAACATACAGGAGAGAGGCCTCTGAAGGATGATTAGAAGAAAGAGACACTAAAATATTAAGGGAAAATTAGTAAATAAAATTTTCAATTTAATACAAATTTTAATTTAAAAATATATTTTAGAAACTTTTTAAAGTATTCGTAATTGAAGTGCATGTTTTAAAAATAGAAAAAAAATTCATGTTTTAAAAATAGAAAAACAAATTATGTAATTAAAGTGAAAAAAAATGTAATCAGAGTACTTTACTCTTTTTTTATAATTATACTACTATCTCAAATGTCAGCCATGTCATGCTCCATTAGTAATGGTTAAAGTTGCACCATTTAATTTTAAAAAGGTATACGTAGAATCACACAACTAAAAAAATCGCATTGTTTGGTATACCTAAAAATAAGGGAAAAACAATCAGGGTGTTAGATAGACCTTCACCCTTAAATAAAAGAAAAGATTGAAGTATAGGTTACACAGTAACAAATAAAAGAGGACAAATACGTACTCAAGTGAAAGAAACAAAAATTAGAAGGATAAGCAGTGCTAACTTTGATGGTTGACAAAGATGGTAGCATGAAGAGCATAAGCATAATTAATCCCAGCAAACCTCAAAGGCTGTTAAAACTTTCAAAGGCTTTATTCTTCAATCACAAGTCAGCAAATTTAGGATGCTTTTAATAACATCTTGCGATTAATCTGTACGCAGCTTCTGTCAAATGAACACCATCCCAGCTTATGCACTTCGAAGGATCATCACAAGCTTTCACTCCTTTACTTTCACATCTTTTGAAGCATTGTAATGTATGCCCCTCCACCTCCTCAAAAAGCTTTGGGACCTATAAAACCCATAATTTATTTCACCAGGTTAACACAAATTTATCAGAATATTATGATAGCGTCTATGGAAATGTGGAATCAGAATATTACCAAATTTTGTGGGAGAATGATACAATGGTAATTGCTCTGAAACATTGTTAAGTAGGATGCACTGCATCCAATTGGAATTTCCAAGAACGATCAACGTTTGAGCCCTCTAAATTTATCAAATCCTGCAACCGGCATTTTAAGTGAGCTCACCCATGAAAAGTATATAAAACGGATCGCATAGCATTTGTAAGTCTTACTCTTATCGTTGAAGAGTTGCATTGATCACATGAGGCACGTAAGTTTTGATCTCCGCTAACTCCTTCGCAAAGCAAAAGGTCAATTAAAGTCATTGCCCCAATTTTCTCCCACTAGAAACAAGTCCCGGTATCAGCAACCGGACTATTGTCTCTTGTTGTCGCAGAGTCCAGAGCGGAGAAGAAGCCATTAATGGAAATTTAAGAGAATAATCTCTCCCAAGAACAGCAGATCTTATAGGCAAAATATTGCCATCAGCTGTTCGGTTTGACTTGACTTTTGTGTTCCTTCAACTACTAAGGATTCTTAGACGTCATAATCCTCTGCAAATATTTTTAATCTTTCATTCACGCGTCAAGATAAGGTTTCGAATAAAAAAGCCTCCACTGTGATTAAACAATACTCAAATTATTGTACGTTGACAAGTAATCGCTTTTCAATTGCCATGTGATTTCAAAATATTAGTATATACTCGACACGTAATTGCTTTTTTAATTCGCCATGTGATTTAAAAATATTAGTACATACCGTAGCCAAAAAAATATTAGAACCCAATCGCCTCCTTGGTACTTCGATCCAATCCCATCATCCACCGGCCCTTCGAACATCTTTGCCGCTCCGTCAGATACCTGCTGACCACCGAGAAGTCCTCCCTTTGCACTTGTCCCGTTTCTTGAGTCATCGGCCGCAACCCGACCACTTGTCCTACCCCTCGCTGTAGATTGACGGCTGACGCCATTTTGAGTGCATTCCCGCTCTCGTCGTGGCCACCTGTAAGTGGGCCTCCGAGTGCAGTTTTGTCGTCTCCTCAGACAATCAGCGTTAACGGTGTGTACAAGAGGTTAAGTGATGATGTGTCTAAATAATCTGATGGCAGAAGCTAATTGGATACTTAGACTTATTTGATGTAATTAACTTGACCTAAGTATTCTCCTATATATATTATAAATATATTGCTTTATTTTTTCTTTAAAAAAAATCTATGCCAAGACTTA